GCCGCTCCCAGCCACCACAGCCTTGACCTGCTGGGCTCCGGTGATCCTTCCGCCTCAGCCTTCCACGTAGCTGGAACTACAGACGCGCGCTACCACACCCGGCTAATTTTTTTGATTTATTGTAGAGATGAGGTCTTGCCAAGTTGCCCAGATGGGTCTCGAACCCACGGGCTCAGGCAATCCCCTCACCTCAGCCTCCCAGAGGTGTGGGATTACAGGTTTAGCCACCGAGCCCGGCTTAGGCCATGTTTTCTTAAGGTTTGGTCCTCTCCCCTTCCTTAGAGAGGTAAATTTCCTCTTTTTCTCTGATTTACTTTATAAATAAACTATATTTTTCTAATGTTAAAAAAATGATAAAGTAAAATAAATAAAAATCATTTGATATTTCTTTTTATTTTTTTTTGAGTTGGAGTCTACTCTGTTACCCAGACTGGAGTGCTGTGGCCGCAACCGGCCACTGCAGCCTCGACCTGCTGGGCTCCAGTGATCCTTCCGCCTAAGCCTTCCAAGTAGCTGGAACTACAGGCGCGCGCTAAATGTCCAGCTAATTTTTGATTTATTTTATTTATTTTTTGAGTTGGAGTCTCACTCTGTCACCCAGACTGGAGTGCCGTGGCCGCTCCCGGCCACCGCAGCCTTGGCCTGCTGGGCTCTGGGGATCCTTCCACCTCAGCCTTCCAAGTAGCTGGAACTACAGGTGCGCGCTACCACACCCGGCTAATTTTTTGATTTTTATTGTAGAGATGAGGTCTCGCCAAGTTGCCCGGGCGGGTCTCGAACCCGCGGGCTCAGGCAATCCATTCACCTCAACCTCCCAAAGGCACGGGATTACAGGCTGAGCCACCGAGCCTGGCTTAATTTTTTATTTATTATAGAGATGAGTTCTTGCCAAGTTCCCCAGGCGGATCTCGAACAATCCACTCACCTCAGCTTCACAAAACGCTGGGATTACAGGCTGAGCCACCGAGCCCGGCCTGATATGTCTTTTTTTTTTTTTTTGAGCTTTTCAATTTTGATGCCTTTTAATGCTTCTGCTGTTTTTTTGTTTGTTTGTTTTTGAGTTGGAGTCCCACTCTGTTGCCCAGACTGGAGTTCAGTGGCCCCTCCCAGCCACCGCAGCCTCGACTTGCTGGGCTCCGGTGATCCTTCGCCTCAGCCTTCCGAGTAGCCGGAATTACAGGCGCGTGCTACTGATATTTCTTTATCACCACTTCTGGAGAGTACCAGCCTGACAACATAGCTAGATACTGTCTCTTAAAAAAAAAAAAAAAAAAAGTGGACTTGTTGGTGTCTGCCTATAGCTAATGAGAAGACTGAAGCAGGAGGATCACTTGAGTCAAACAGTTCGAGGCTGCAGTGAGCTGTGGTCATACAGCTGTGCTCCAGCTTGGTTGACAGAGTAAAGCCCTGTTTCAAAAAAAAAAAAAAAACCTGAGCATGGTGACTGTAATTCCAGCAGTTTGGGAGGCTGAGAAGGCTCATTTGAGGCCAGAAGTTGAGACCAATCTGGGCAACATAGCAAGATCCCATCTCTGTTTTAAAAATAAATAAAAATAAAAATTTATTAAGTGGAAGGTTGAAAATAAACAATTGTCAACTTGATAAAGAGCAACAAACAGGCTGATACTAAGTAGAGAGATGGAAATAAAGTAAGCAAACCTAAAACTGGACTCGGCTCGGTGGCTCAGCCTGTAATCCCAGCAATTTGGGAGGCCAAGATGAGTGGATTGCCTGAGCCTGCGGGTTTGAGACCAGCCCGGGCAACTTGGTGAGACCTCATCTCTATAATAAATCACAAAAATTAACTGGGCATGGTGGTGTGCGTCTGTAGTTCCAGCTACTTGAAAGGCTGAGGCGGAAGGATTGCCTAAGCCTAGCAAGTCGAGGTGGGGTGGCTGTGAGTGTGCCACTGCACTCCAGCCTGCGACAGAGTGAGACTCCAACTCAAAAAATTAAAAAAAATAAAAATAAACATTTAAATGTAAAACATTGAAACTACAAAAATATTAAGAGAAAATATAGGAAGTATAACCTCAAAATAGGGAAAGACTTCCTAAGCAAGATGAGAATATCCCAGAAGCTGTAAAAGAAAACTGAGATTCCATTTTTAGCTCCATCTGGTTGCAAAAATAAAATATACTGATAATATCCGGTACTGTTGAAGATGGGGCAAAATTAGTACACTCAAACACTGTAATAGAAGTATGTATTATGACAACAACATTTGGGCAAATATTATCTTTTTTTTTTTGAGTCGAATTCTTTGTCACTCAGGCTGGAGTGCAGTAGCACAATCACAGTTCACTGTGCCCTCAACTTCCTGGGCTCTCAGATGATCCTTCTGCCTCAGCTTCCCAAGTAGCTAGGACAGCAGGCTCGTGCAACCACATGTGGCTAAATTTTTATTTTTTATATATTTTGAATTTTTTTGTAGAGATGAAATCTTGCTATGCTGTCCATGTTCCTGCTTTGGCCTCCCAATGTTTTGTGAGGCAGCGTACCCAGCCCTGTCATCTCTTAAAATTACAAATGCATATGGCCTTTGACATAGTTATTCCTACTCATGAGGATGTATGCTTATAGGAAGCACAACTAGAAAAGGATAAGTTGTGGGGGAAGGGAAGGGAGATGGGATTAACGGTAGTAAATATCTGGGGACAGGGAGACACCTCTTATCAACAAGGACGCCTGAATGAAGCATATTTGTATACCTGACCCTTAACTGTACCCCACAATATCATAATAAAAAATACTGATTAAAAAAAAAAAAGAAAAGGATAGGTACACAAGGGTGATCATAGCAGAATTGTTTGTAATGGTGAAAACAGGGAACATAAATGAGCATCAGAAGGGGAGTGGTTGAATAAGTAGTATTGCATCCTTATTTTTATTGATTGATTGATTGAGGCGGAATCTCACTCTGTCACTCAGGCTAGAGTGCAGTGGCACATTCACGGCCACACCAGCCTCCACCTGTTGGACTCAGTTGATCCTTCTGCCTCAGCCTTCCAAGTAGCTGGAACTACAGGCATGCGCCACCACACCCAGCTAATTTTTTTATTTATTGTAGAGATGAGGTCTCTCCAAGTTGCCCAGGGTGGTCTCAAACCCATGGGCTCTGGGAGTCCTCTTATCTCAGTCCCCCAAAGTGCTGAGATTATAGGCGTGAACCACCATGCCCAGCCAGGAAATCTTATTACACATATTTTAATAACTGCTAGACATATTAAACTACTTTTTCTGAGTTAGCTTTACTATGTTACCAAAAGGTATCCTTTGTATGAGATTAATGCTGAATTTTTTTTTGATGTTTTGATATATTTTCTTTTTTTTTCTTGAGTTGGAGTCTCACTCTGCCACCCAGACTGGAATGCAGTGGCACGCTCCCGGACACCGCAACCTTGACCTGCTGGGCTCTGGCGATCCTTCTGCCTCATCCTTCCAAGTAGCCAGAACTATGGGCGCGTGCTACCATACCTGGCTCATTTTTGATTTATTGTAGAGATGAGATCTCGCCAAGTTGCCCGGGCTTGTCTCAAACCCACGGGCTCAGACAATCCACTCACCTCGGCCTCCCAAAGTGCTGGGATTACAGGCTGAGCCACTGAGCCAGGCCGATTTTTTATATATTTTCTGGTAATCTTAGAGTTTTAACATCATACACATGCCTTTTTTCTTTTTTTTTTTTAATCGTAATCTCACTCTACCCAGACTGGAGTGCAGTGGCATGCTCACGGCTAGCACAGCCTTTACCTGCTGGGCTCAGGAGATTCTTCCACCTCAGTCTTCCAAGTAGCTGGAATTACAGGTGCATACCACCATGCCCAGCTAATTTTTTGATTTATTGAAGAGACGAGGTCTGGTCTCGAACCCGTGGGCTCACGCAGTCCTTTTGCCTCTGCCTCCCAAAGTGCTGGGATTACAGGTGTGAGCCATCATGACCGACCATACACATGCCTTGAAGCAAATAGTGATTACTAAAGATTTGGGGGAGCTAGGGGTGATGGCTCACACCTATAATCCCAGTACTTCGGAGGTGAAACTGAGAAGATTGCCTGAGCCCTGGCATTGAGACCAGCCTGGGCAACTAGGTGAGACCTTATGTCTACAATAAATAAAAAAATTAGGTAGGCACCAGTAGGCACCTGTAGTTCCAGCTACTTGGAAAGCTGAAGTGGAAGGATTGCCTGAGTCCAGCAGGTCAAGGCTGCAGTGCCTGTGAGCATACCACTACACTTCACCCTGGGTAACAGAGTGAGACTCCGATTCAAGGGGGGGGAAAAAAAGATTTGGAGAAAAATTTTTGGCTTTCTCAATTTATTCTTGTTTGTTTTATATTAGGTTAGATTGAGTTATGAGCCAAAACTAAGATAGCAATAGATTGGTATGGTGAATTCCCAGAGTTTTTTTTTTATTATTATATTGTCAAGTCATTATCTGTCTTTGGTATTCATACATCTTGAGCAAATTAGGTGCTTCTGTTGTGGGTCTAGCAATTCCTCTAAGTTTTTTTTGTTTGTACTAGAGGAAAGATTTTTCCCAGCCAAGGGATACTAACACATGAGGGAGTACCCCCAAAAACCTGGAATTCTCTTTTTCTTTTTTTTTTGTTTTTTGAGTTGGAGTCTCACTTGGTCGCCCAGACTGGAGTACAGTGGCCGCTCCCGACCACTGCAGCCTCGCCTGCTGAGCTCCAGGGATCCTTCCGCCTCAGCCTTCCGAGTAGTCGGAGTTACAGGCATGCGCTACCATGCCTGGCTGATTTTTTTTTTGATCTTTTTGAGTTGGAGTCTCACTCTGTTGCCCAGTGATTTTTTTGATTTATTGTAGAGATGAGGTCTCGCTGCCCAGGTGGGTCTCGAACCCGCGGGCTCAGGCAATCCACTCACCTCAGCCTCCCAAAGGTGCGGGATTATAGGCTGAGCCACTGAGCCCGGCTTGGAATTCTCTTTCCGCCAACTTGGAGTCCTCAGAGGCCTGCTGTGAACAGGATTTCTAAGAGGTACATATTTCTGAAAGACTGTGGTCCAAAGCCATTTTTGCTGACTATAAGTGAGGTCTCTGGAACCAAAGGGAGCACACAGCTCTTCTCAAAATTGAAGGTGTTTATGCCCAAGATGAAACTGAATTCTGTTTGGGCAAGAGATGTGCTTATATATATAAAGCAAAGAACAACACAGTGACCCCTGGCAGTAAACAAAACAAAACCAGAATAATCTGGGGAAAGGTAACTCGGACCCATGAAAACAGTGGCATGGTTCGTGCCAAATTCCGAAGCAATCTTCCTGCTAAGGCCATTGGACACAGAAGCCGTGTAATGCTGTACCCCTCAAGGATTTAAACTAATGGAAAGTAAATAAATAAACATGAATTTGTAAAAACAAAAAAAAACTGTAATTATCTTTTGGAGAGCGGGCCCCTTGTAGTATACTTGCAATTTGTTCCTCTATATCAAACTATCAACCAACCCAAGTTTTTCTGGAAAGTTTGAGAAGGTTGCATCACAATTTGTGGAAAAAACTTCCTGACTTGTGGCAAACAGATGACTGGTTCTTCCACCACGACAATGCACCTGCCCACACCACACTGAGTGTTCAGCAGTTTTTGGCCAAAAATGTCATGACTCCTGTGCTCCATCCTCCCTATTCTCCAGATCTCACCCAAGAGACTTTTTTTTTGTTTCCCAGTATGAAAAAAGTTCTTAAAGGGAAATATTTTGCCGATGTGGAAGACACAAAATTAAAAATGGCAGAAGTACTAAAAGGCATCAAAACTGACAAGTTCAAAAACTGTTTTGAGCAGTGGAAAAAGTATGTTGATAGGTGTAGTGCATTAAATGGAGAGTACTTTGAAGGTGACCAACGTTTAAGCATGTAAGAATAAATACATGATTTTTTAATAAATAAATTCCAGATTTTTTTTGGGTCCTCCTCATATGTAGATTTGAGCTCATTGAATTTGGGAGTTTGAAGTCATTTGTTTCTGGTTATCTCTGGAATGGTGATATACCCCAGCTATACACATTTTACTGTATCTCTCTTATTAAAGGTTACCCTAGGCATTATAATTAGCATTTTATTTGATAATAATGCAGTTTGAATGAATTATCAACTTAGTTTTATTTATTTATTATATATTTATTTTATTTTATTTTTTTGAGTTGTATGAGTCTCACTCCTACGCCCAGGCTGGAGTGCAGTAGCATGCACGCTCACTACCATCCCAGCGTTCATATGCTGGGCTCCACCGATCCTTCTGCCTCAGCCTTCCGAGTAGCTGGAACTACAGATGCGCACTACCACGTCCGTCTATTTTTTATTTTATTGTAGAGATGAGGTCTCACCAAGTTGCCCGGGTTGGTCTCAAACCCGTGGGCTCAGGCAGTCCACTCGCCTTGGCCTCCCAAAGTGCTGGAATTACAGACTGAGCCACCGAGCCTGGCCAACTTAGTTTTAAGTGTATACAAAAACTTACATAGCTCATTCCCCCTTAATTTGTTATTGTTACACAAAATACATCTTTGTACATCTTGTACCTGTTAACGTATAAATTAAAATTTTTTAAAAGTTTTAAAACAGTTTATTAGCAAGAAGAGAAGGAAAACGAATTTATGGCAGAAAGTCCTGCCATAGGCAAGTTTTTCAAGAAAGCAAAACCGTAAATTTATAATTTTTGTATTATGTGTTTTCCTTTTTTTTTTTTAATTTTGAGTTGGAGTCTCACTCCCACACCCAGACTAGAGTGCAGTGGCCGCTCCCGGCCACCACAGCCTTGACCCGCTGGGCTCTGGTGATCCTTCCGCCTCAGCCTTCCGAGTAACCAGAACTACAGGTGTGCACTACCACGCCCGGCTAATTTTTTTGATTTATTGTAGAGATGAGGTCTCGCCAAGTTGCCCGGACGGGTCTCAAGTCCGCGGGCTCAGGCAGTTCACTTGTCTTGGCCTCCCAAAGCGCTGGGATTACAGGCTGAGCCACCGAGCCTGGCCATGTATTTTCCTTTTAAATCATGTAGAAAAAGAGGAGTTATAAGCCAAAGCAAAGTACATTATTACTGACTTTGTGTTACCTGTATAGTTATTTTTACTGACATTCTTTATTTCTTCATATGGATTCAGGTTAGTGTCTAGTGTTCTTTCATTTCAGCCTGAAGTGTTCGTTTGTTTCTTTATTTTTTATTTTTTATTTTAGTTGTAGTCTCTGTCACCCAGGCTGGAAGGCAGTGGCACACTCACGGCCACTGCAGCCTCAACCTGCTGGGCTTAGGCGATCCTTCCACCTCAGCCTTCCAAGTAGCTGGGAATACGGGCGTGTGCCACCACGCCCAGCTAATTTTTTATTTATTGTAGAGATGAGGTCTTGCCAAGTTGCCCAGACTTGTCTCGAACCCGTGGGCTCCCTAAGTCCCAGAATTATAGGCATTAGCCACTGCACCCAGCCTCATTCTAGCTTTTCTTGTGGGACAAGTCTACTAGTGACCGACTTTGTTTTTGTTTATCTGAGATTGTCTTAATTTTTCCTTCATTTCTGAAAGAGTGGTTTTGCCACTTTTTAAAAATTTCAGTACTTTGAACATGTTGCCCTCTTATCGCCATGGTTTCTAATGGAAATCAACTGTTAATTTTGTTGAGGGCCAGACTTGGTGGCTCAGCCTATAATCCCAGCACTTTGGGAGGCCGAGGTGAGTGGACTGCCTGAGCCCGCGGGTTCAAGACGTACTCAGGCAGCTTGGCGAGACCTTATCTCTACAATACATTAAAAAGTAGCCAGGCGTGGTAGCGCACGCCTTTAGTTCAGCTACTCGGAAGGCTGAGGTGGAAGGGTCGAGGTGGAAGGATAGCCGGAGCCCAGCCAGTCGAGGCTGTGGTGGCCGGGAGTGTGCCATTGCACTCCAGTCTGGGCGACAGAGTGAGACTTCAACTCAAAAAAAAAAAAAAATCTTATTGAGGATCCCTTGTATGTGATGAGTTGTTTCTCTCTTTTCTTTTTTTTTTTTTTTTTTTTTGAGTTGGAGTCTCTCTGTCGCCCAGGCTGGAGGGCAGTGGCACACTCCCAGCCACCACAGCCTCGACTGGCTGGGCTCCGGCAATCCTTCCGCCTCAGCCTAATCCACTCACCTCAGCCTCCCAAAGTGCTGGGATTATAGGCTGAGCCACCGAGCCCGACTCAAGATGTTTTCAAGATATTCTCTTTATCTTTGGCTTTATGTGGTTGTAATTTGATTTTTTGATTTGATTATAATGTGTCCATATGGATCACTTTGAGTTTGTCCTACTTGGAGTTCTTTGAGCTTTTTAGATATGTAGATTCATGTCTTTCTGTCAAATTTGTAGAGTTTTAGACTACTGTTTATTTAGATATTCTTTCGGACCCATTTTCCTCCCCTCCTGGGGATTCCGTTTTGTATATGTTGGTGTCTTACAGGTCTCTTGCTGTTCTGTTCATTTTGCTTTTCATTTATTCATCTTCCTCAGACTGGATAATCTCAGTTGACCTTTCTTGAAGCTTACTGATTCTTTCTTCTCCCTGTTCAAATCTGCTGTTAAATCCCTTGAGTAAATTTTTCATTTGTACTTTTCAACTTTAGAATTTCTATTTGGCTTCTTTTTATTATTTGTCTCTCTTTATTAATATTTTCTATTTGGTTGGACATTCTATGATTTCCTTTAGCTCTTTGAGCATACTTAATATTTTTGCTTCATAATCTTTGTCTAATAAGCCCAGTATTTGGGCTCCCTTGGGGACAGTTTCTCTTAATTTATTTTCTGTTTGTGGACCATATCTTACTTCTTTGCACTACTCATAATTTTTGTTGAAAATAACTTTGTATATTATAATGTGACAACTCTGGAAATTAGATTCTCTCCTTTCTCCAGGGTTGTTCCTACTTATTGTAGTTGTTTCTTTAGTGGCTTTGCTGAAGTAATTTTGCAAGGTTGTATTCTTTTACTGTGTGTGGCTATTGAACTCTCTTCATTAGCTTAGTGGTCAGCTAGTGATTGTGATTTCCTGTTTTTGCCTGAAGCAAAAAACAGACCTCTTTTTGCAGGTGGGCTCTATATATGTGTTGAGGCACACCTTCAACATTGAGGTAGGTAGTGTACTACTCTGTCTTAGTCTTCACATTCTGCATATGCAGAGGCTGAATGTCAGCCAGCAGTAAGAACTTAAGGCTTCTTCTGCTCTTTTCTAAGCAGGTGCCCAACACTGATGTGTTTATGGTTTTCTAGGGCTCTCAGAATATGTGGGAGGTTTTCCAAGCCCTTATTCTCAAGGCATCTCCTTAACCAGCCTTTCCTTCCTCAGTTGTTTGCCCCAACTGTTATTGCTACTACATTTACCTTTAACTATTTTTGACAAATGTGTGTGCCGCCACTCCTTCCCCCCCAGGAGCAAAACCTTTGTGGGAAGTCCTTTAGGGATCCACTGGACAGGCAAAAACAGCCACAATTCTTTTTTTTTTTTTTTTTTTTGAGTTGGAGTCTCATTCTGTCGCCCAGACTGGAGTGCAGTGACCGCTCCCAGCCACCGCAGCATCGACCTGGGCTCCGGAGATCCTTCCGCCTCAGCCTTCCAAGTAGCCGGAATTACAATCATGCGCTACCATGCCCGGCTGATTTTTTTATTTATTTTAGAGATGAGGTCTCGCTCCCTAGGCAGGTCTCGAACCTGCGGGCTCGGGCAATCCACTCACCTCAGCCTCCCAAAGGCGCGGGATTACAGGCTGAGCCACCGAGCCTGACTAATTCTTTGTATGTAATATTTATCTCCCTCTAACCTATACTAGAAATGCAGGCTGCTATCTTCCAGGCTTTCACCAAGCTGTGAAGTGGGAAATGGCACCAGAGTAATTTAAAATACCACAGTAGGCCAAACAGCAGTGGCTCACACCTGTAATCCCAGCACCTGCTTTAGCCCAAGAGTTTGAGACCCACCTAGGCAACACAGCAAGACCTCTACAAAATTCAAAAAATTAGCTGGCTATAGCAGTGTGCTCCTTTAGTCCTAGCTACTCAGGAGGCTAGGACAGAAGGATCACCCGAGAACCCAGAAGGTCAAGGCTGTAGTGAGCCATGATTGTGCCACTGCGCTGCAATCTGGATGACAGAGTGAGACTCTGACTCAAAAAAAACCCACAAAGATCTCTTACTGGAATTCAACTATTTTTTGTCTTCATTAAGCATTCCCCTGGAATTAGATTCCAAAGTTCCATTTTATTTTTATTTTTATTTATTTATTTTTTTTTGAGTTGGAGTCTCGCTCTGTCGCCCAGACGGGAGTGCAGTGGCCGCTCCCGGCCACCGCAGCCTCGCCTGC